CAAGATGGAAGCTTTGCAGTTCGGTGAGTTGATTGCGCAGATTCAGTTTTATCCAACTCGGAATTGTACTGTTTTGTTTGGTTAACTATAGTGTAGCAGGGAAGGCACTATAGGGGTACAATTTATGTGAAGGTTGGATGTTGTTTGTCTGTATCTGCATGCTACAAGGCCAGGGGAAACCAGCGGAACCAGCATTTGGCTGTTTGGGCAAAGACAAAACAGGTTCTGTTTTTAAAACCTGAACCTGGTTGTTGTTTTCCCAGGTTGGAAAAACAGAACCAGAGGTTGTTTACCAACACTCCACCTGCTATTTGTCCAGCCAGGTTGGTTCTGTTGCTTGGAATTTTTTGGGATCATCCCTGGTTGTTCCCAGGTTGATTCCCAAGGTCCTTGCTAGCTAGAACTATTTAATCCTTCTCTGTTTGTACCTGTGAATATTAGTCAATTGATTCATGCAAATTCCTTCCTCGCTGGAATTTCGTTTCTACGCGGTTCGTTGGCGGAATGCTACCCGAGTCAACGCTAGTACGCTAGCACTCTAATGCTAGGCAAACACCGTCTGAGCCATAACTTCGTAATGACAGAACTTTTCGCGAGGCAACTTGGCTCATTTTAAAGCTCTTGGAGAGAGCTTCGATATAGCGATTTCTCAGCTTAATCCGATCGACGGTCTGCACGGCACGCTGCGCGACGTTCAAGGTGCTCTTGCTGTTTTGACTAAGTCCTTCTTGATCCCTTTCTCTACAAACTCGGACCCGAGGATAGGGGCTGGTCTTGTACCAGGCAACCAGGGACCCTTGGAGGTGACCCCGAGGAGAGGTTTTAAGTTTGATTAAGTCCTAATAGCTTGAGTTTATTAGGCCCTTACACCAACAATTGGCCTGTTGGGTCCAATGGACATGTTGGTCCAATAGACTTGTTGGACACAGGCCTATTGGCCCAATGAACCGGTTGGACCAACTGGCCTGTTGGCCCAATGGATTGGTTTGACAAACGGGCCTGTTTGCCGAATGGACCGGTTGGACCAACTGGCCTGTTGGTCCAATGGACCGGTTGGACGAACTGGCCTGTTGGTCCAATGGACCTGTTGGACCAACTGGCCTGTTGGTCCAATGGACATGTTGTTCGAATTAACCTGTTGGACCAACTGGCCTATTGGACCAACTGGCCTATTGGCCCAATGGACCGGTTCGACCAACTGGCCTGTTGGCCGAATGAACTGGTTGGACAACAGTGACAACAGTGGCAAGCAGACGCGTGACAGTAGGGTGAGCAGCACGAGCGCGGTCAGACTCAGGGTCTGGAACGTCAGGCAGAGAAGACGCAGGAGGAGACGGCAGAGGGACACGCTGTGGAGCAGAGGAAGGATGAAGGGCATGAGGTGCGTGTCGGGGACAGCGGCGCGAACGCGGACGAGGAACGCGACGACCAGTAAGACCAGCGCGAACAGGTGAGACAGGATGAGATGCAGGCTCACGACGCTCAAGAAGGCTTGTCTGCTCAGTGTAAGGAGAAGGAGCAGGCAGTGGTGAGCCAGGCTGTAATGGAAGGCACATAGAGAAGACGGGAGGCTAAGAACCTGGCGAAGCACGGAGTCAGGTGGTGGCAGAGACGACGGTGACGGCGGAGCAAAAAAACAGGCGCGGCTGTGCAGTGCCACCAGCACCAGTAGCTCCAGCACCTCCAGCAGCGCCAGAACCTCCAGCTCCAGCGCCTCCAGCAGCTCCAGAACCGCCAGCTCCAGCGCCTCCAGCAGCTCCAGAACTGCCAGCTCAGGCAGCAGCCCTCAGCAGCTCCAGAACCTCCAGCTCCAGCGCCTCCAGCAGCTCCAGAACCTCTAGCTCTAGCGCCTCCAGTAGCTCCAGAGCCTCCAGCTCCAGTGCCTCCAGTAGCTCCAGAACCTCCAGCCCCAGCGCCTCGAGCAACTCTTGAACTGCCAGCTCTAGCACCTCCAGCAGTTCCAGAACCTCCAGCCCTAGCGCCTCGAGCAACTCCAGAACCGCCAGCTCCAGCGCCTCCAGCAGCTGCAGAACCTCCAGCTCCAGCGTCGCCAGCTGCGCCAGAACCTCGAGCTCCAGGGTTTCCCCCCTCAGTACCTCCAGTCGCAGCACCCCCAGAACCGGCACCTCCAACTCCAGTTTCCAGCCTCGCTACCTCCAGCAGCAGCACCTCCAAAACTGGCACCTCCAGCTCCAGGGTCTCCAACTCCAGAGGCGACAGTAGCAGCTCCTGGGCGTCCAGCCCCAGTACCCCAAGTCGCAGCACCTCCACGACGTTGCGCTGAGCGCACCACTCGCGTAGCTGCTGTCGCGAGAGAGGTGGCCATGCGACGCAGCACCAGGAGGACCGCCAGGAGACTCAGCACCCCCAGAACTAGCACCTCCAGCTCCAGCAGGAAAACGCCAGTCCTGGCAGCTCCAATACCAGCACCTCCAGAACCAGAAACACCAGTGCTCCCAGCGTCTCCACGACCACTCGCTCCAGCAGCTCGAGCAGCAGAAAGAGCTCAGAGGAACACCAGCCGACTCAGCTCAGCACCCCGGACCCGGTACACTCTGGCTCAGCACCCCCAGGCTCCGCAACCCTAGACGCAGGACCCCGAGAAGAAACACCGCCCCCAGCAGCACCAAAGGCAACCGGAACCGGCCGTAGAGGCGACGAAGACGTCGAGGTGGAAAAACCGGAGGGGTCGTCAAGCGTGTGAGCGGCGGGGGGGCACAGCGGGGGGCCTCCAACTCCAAGGTCGACAGCGCTAGCTCCAGGGCCTCCACCCCCAGGACCGCTGGCAGCAGCACCCCCAGCAGCAGGACCTCCAGCCCAGCAGCACGACCCGTAGGAACTCCAGCTGACTCAGCACCCCCCGACCCGGCACCCTCCAGCTCAGCACCCTCAGGCCCCGCACTCGTAGGAGCAGCACCCCCAGGCTCCACACCCCCCAGCACCTCACGCACAGGCTCAGCACCCCCCAGACGCAGCACCCCAAGTAACAGCACCCCCAGCAGCACCAGATCCAATAGTAGTCGGCTGCAGAGGCGGGAAGAAGGTCGCGGCAGGAACCCGGAGGGGTCTCCATGCGTGGTGTGCGGCGGTAGTCCTCCGGGGCGTCAGCAGCAACGTCACCCCCCTCAGCTGGGCCAGAGGTGTCGGAAGTGACCTCCAAAGGCTCAGCCAAGGGGAGTGGGTCTACCTGAGACACACGTGAAGGAGCGGGCCTGAGGGGGGGAGGGGTTTATCGGAGGGGGACCTGGAGCGAGGAAAAGCGGCGGGGGAGGGAGAGGGGCAGTGCGGTAGGGGAAGAGACGGTAGAAAGAAAGAGCCGACTCGTCAAAGGTGGACGTCCTGGGAGGGGAAGACGCGGCGCGAGGTGGGGTGGTAAAACTGCCAGCCAGGCGCATCAGGGACAAAGCCAAGGAAGACACAGGGAATGGTGCGGGAGGAGAGCTTGTCCGCGGACGTATCGCAGACAAGGGCACGAGCACCCAGACCCGGAAACGCGACGCATCGCCCACCTCTCCCGTCCAACGCAGTGGTGGGCGAGGGGTGTCTGGCAAGGAGACACTGGGCCAGAGGTTGAGCTGATGCGCTGCGTACCGGACCGCAAACGACCACAGAAAATGGGGAGCCGCCGCATGGATCAAGGAGGTACGAGCGATCTCCATGACCAAGCCAATGCGGCACTCAGCAATCCCATTTTGCTGCGGTGAGCCCGAAAGCGTGAACGCTCAATGCCCTCCCTCTGACAGAAGGCCCGCAAGAGGTCGGAGATGAACTCACCACCATCTTTCGTTCTTGGCCTATTGGAGCCTACTGTGATTAATAACAAGTGGTATCAGCGTCTTGGAGCAGCTACGACGATGGCTGGACCTGAAGAGAGGGGTGGCAGAGGTGCTGGAGGCAATGGAGAAGCCCAAGCACAAGGCCAAGCCCGTGATTCAGCCGTGGCGCCCGTGCAACCGACTCGGACCTTCAAGGGATGAGCCAAGAGTGTTCGGGCTTGATAAGTTCAACGGCGACAACTTTGCTGAATGGTCCTTCAGAATGGAGAACGTGTTTGACCACTATGACCTGCTGGTGAAGTGAGAAGGAAAACGGAGAAGCGTCCCGAGAACGACCCGGAGAAGAGCCCGTGGGTGCGGAAGAGCGCACAAGGCTATCTCCTACTTGGGCAAGCGTTGGGGAGCAACCAGATCCGTCACATCAAGCCTTTCCAGCGTGAACCAGAGAAGGGACCAAAGGCATGGGCTGCTCTCAAGGGTGTACACGCTCCTGCAACAGCGGCGGTAGCTGTGGTGTTGGAACGGCAAATGGCGACATTACGGATTGAGGAAGTTGAACCCGTGAGAGACGGGGTGCAGAAGAAATCTTCGACTTGTTGACGCGGCTTGAGGGAGCTGATTTGAACTACAGTGAGCTCCAAAAGAAGACCAAGTTGCTGGCCCTACTCCCCGAGTCGTGGTCCTCGCTCATCATTAACCTCAACCGTGATTTGCCCCGTCTCTCGCTTGAAGACGTGAAGCGCGCGATCCTTCAAGAGGACTTCCGCCGCCGTGAGTTGGCGAGTGCGGATGGCGCTGGGGCAGCGAGCGTCGGCCGTGGATATGGCGAGGAAGAGGCAGAAGACGAGGGAGAGGAATATTTGGTGGCAGCAACTTCGGTGGAGGCCGCGGGAGTGGGCGTGGTTACGGCAGCGACGACAAGAGCTACGGGCGCGGTCGCAGCCAATTCGATGGCGAATGTCACAATTGCTTCAAACTCCCTGAAGGATGGACCCCTGCTCAAGGCCAAGAGGGTGGAGGAGCAGGAGGAGGGAGAGGCAGAGGCCGTGGAGGCCGTGGCGGTCGCGGAGGTGGAGCCGCGAACATGAAGAGTGGAGATAAAGACAACGACCGAGCGACGATCGGGATACCCGGGTCTTTTCTACTTTGTGTCGACGCAAGTACCAGCTGGTCCAGAGAAGGATGAAGACCTTGAGGAGCCAGCAGCTGTCGGAAAGGTGACCCTACCCCTCTGGACTTTTGGGTGATTGATAGCGGCGCTACCTATAGCATGACACCTCGCCCCGACTTGCTCACCGAACTCGAGCCGTCACCGGTGAAGCATGTCACATCGGCTTTGGGGCAGCGAGCAGAGGTGAAAGGCATGGGCAAGGCCATGTTCAAGGGTGCTGATGGGAAGATGGTGGGCCTCAAGAACGTGCTTTGGGTGCCCAGCCTTGCTGCAAACCTGATTTCCGTGCGGCGGTTGGCGAAGGCGGCATGGACAGAACTGGAAGGGAGCCAAGACTACACCGCTGTTGGGTGCAAATTGTTGGTGTAAGGGCCTAATAAACTCAAGCTATTAGGACTTAATCAAATTTAAAACCTCTCCTCGGGGTCACCTCCAAGGGTTCCTGGGTGCCTGGTACAAGACCAGCCCCTATCCTCGGGTCCGAGTTTGTAGAGACGGATCAAGGACTTAGTCAAAACAGCAAGAGTACCTTGAACGTCGCGCAGCGTGCCGTGCAGACCGTCGATCGGATTAAGCTGAGAATTCGCTATATCGAAGCTCGCTCCAAGAGCTTTAAAATGAGCCAAGTTGCCTCGCGCGAAAGTTCTGCCATTACTAAGTTATGGCTCGGACAGCGTTTTCCTAGCGTTGGAGTGCTAGCATACTAGCGTTGACTCGGGTAGCATTCCGCCGTCGAATAGCGCAGAAACGAAATTCCAGCGAGGAAGGAATTCGCTTGAATCAATTTGACTATATTCAGGTACAAACAGAGAAGGATTAAATAGTTCTAGCTAGCAAGGACCTTGGGAATCAATCTGGGAACAACCAGGGATGATCCCAAATAATTCCAAGCAACAGAACCAACCTGGCTGGACAAAATAGCAGGTGGTAGGTTGGTAAACAACCTCTGGTTCTGTTTTTTCCAACCTGGGAAAACAACAACCAGGTTCAGGTTCTAAAAACAGAACCTGTTTTGTCTTTGCCCAACCAGCCAAATGCTGGTTCCGCTGGTTTCCCCTGGCCTTGTAGCATGCAGATACAGACAAACAACATCCAACCTTCACCTAAATTGTACCCCTATAGTGCCTTCCCTGCTACACTATAGTTAACCAAACAAAACAGTACAATTCCGAGTTGGATAGAACTGAATCTGCGCAATCAACTCAACCGAACTGCAAAGCTTCCATCTTGGGTTCCTTTGCGAGCTCGTCCTTCCTGCTTGTACTGTTCATAGCGCATACAATGTTGTGCCAAAGCGCACATTGCGCGAGTACCTGCAAATGCATCAAGCGAAAAAATGCGAAAGCAAACAAACACACGAACACACCATTCACACGCAAATGCATTCGCACACGCATACTCGTACAAACAGACGGCAGGATGTCGTGCAATGTGCATTTGCACCCAACACACTCCCCCTCAGCCTGCCGGCTGCATCCCCGTCATTCCATGCTAGTTCATGCTCATTCCACTCATGCGCACACAACGCCAATGAGGCTCATCCGCAAGCCTCTTGGGAGAAAATTCTGCTGGCTGCTTGTGAATCTTGATGTAGATCGGATGCACCGTCCCCCTCTTCACCTCCTTACGCAGCCAGTGCCACTTGATACGCATGTGCTTGTTCAGCCCATGAAGCACAGCGTTTCTGGCCATCCCAAGAGCCCCCTTGCTATCACAAAACAGCGGCGTAGCAACTTTCTGCTCCTGGCCAATCTCCTCTAACAGCCTCCTCAGCCAAATCACCTCCTTCACCCCATGGAACATCGCCATGTACTCTGATTCTACGGAAGAGAGTGCCGTCTCCGTCTGCTTCTTGGACCTCCAACTAACAGGTCCTCCCCCAACTACGCAGATGTATCCTCCCACAGATGAGGAATCCTCCTTCTCAGAAGCCCACGTAGCATCGGTAAAGCAAGTGAGAAATAGCTTGCCTTCTCCAAGCCTCTCCCCCTTCTCTTTCAGCACCTCCACCCCTTTCTGCTTCACCTGTGCAGATGCGGAGTATTGAACTCCAATGCTTGGGTGAGAGTTCAGGTACTTCACCACACGCTCAGCTGCATCCACCTGCTCCTCTGATGGATTCTGCACCACCCTAGCCAGCTGCCCAACCGAGAAAGAGATGTCGGGCCTCGTGTGAACTCTGCTACGTACAAGAGGCTGCCCACCAAGGACTGAAATTGCTGCTGCTCTTCAGCTTCAACCCCTTCATCCTCTGCAGCCTTCACAAGCTTGAATTCTGCTGGCAGGGGAGTTGCAACCTTGCGCTCATTCTCAATCCCATACTTCTCCCCCAGCTCCTTGATGAACTTCTCCTGGTGCAGCTTCAACCACCTGTGATCTGGATCCCTCTCCACGTGCATCCCGAGGTAGTACTTTACCTCCCCAAGGTTCTTGCACTTGAAGTTTTCCATCAGTTGCTGCTGCACTTTCTGGATCTCCTTCATGCTGCTGCTGAAGAGAAGAATGTCGTCCACATAGACCAGAAACAGCACCAGCTTCTCCCCCTCGCCTTTGAGAAAGAGGCTCTCATCACAGCTGCTGGTCCTGAATCCCATCTCCTCTAAAACAGCTGCCAACTTCTAGTACCAGCAGCGTGGCGCCTGCTTCAAGCCGTAGATGAACTTGTTGAGCTTGCACACCCTGCCCGTACCATCCTCATACCCAGGCGGCTGCGTCATGTACACATCCTCCTCTAAAATCCCATTCAGGAATGCCGTTGAAATATCCATCTGAATGATGAATTTCCCACTAACAGCTGCATCTGCCAACAAGACACGGAGGGTAGGGGGTTTGGCAGTGGGAGCAAAGATCTCGTTGAAGTCCTGCTTCTCCTTCTGCATAAACCCCTTCGCCACCAGCCTACTCTTGTAGATGGTGACCTGCCCCTTGTCATCGGTCTTGATCCTCAGCACCCACTTGCATTGTATCGCTTTCTTCCCATCAGGCAGCACCACCAGATCCCATGTCCTATTCTCCAGCAGACTCTGGTACTCAGCATCCCTAGAAGCCAGCCACTTGTCCCTATCTGGTCCAGCTAATGCCTCCTCCATGCTAGCTGGTTCCTCTGGTGCAGGGGCAAGGAAACAGTACGCAGGCTCATCCTCCTCATCCGGGTCATAGCCATGAGGTAGAATCAGCAATGCCTCTTCGGTCCCTAGCTGCTGCTCTGCTGCATCAGTTCCTGCAGTCAGCTTCTTAGTAGCCATACGGGTACGTCCTGGCCTGGAGACGGGTGTCTCCCATCCCTTCATAACGACACCCTTCGGCTTCTTAGTTTTTCCCTGCTGCTTCTCTCCTCCCTCGGGTCCAGCAGCTCCACTAGTGCTGCCGCCAGTTTCCACACCATTTTCTCCACCAGCAGATGCCTCCTGTACCTTCTCTCCATCACCATTTCCGCATTAGCTGCCTCCTCTCCCTCCTCCCACACACTAGGAGTCAGGTCCAGCTGCATGGTGATCTGCTCCATCTGCTGGGACACCCTTGCCTCCGGCTGTTTCTCCCAGCTCCCATACATCATGCCCTCAATGAATTTCACATCCCTGCTGTCAAACAACACACCCTTGGATGGTTCCCACAGCAGCCATCCCTTGCTCTCAGCAGCCAGCCCCAAATGCACACACCAGATTGCACTCGCCCCCAACTTACTGCGGTAGGTCTTGGGGACGTGGGCGACTGCCATGCAACCGAACACCCTCAGCATGTCCACCGGCGGCTTCCTCCCAAGCCACCTCTCCAACAGCACCCACGAGTCATCCCCAACCTTGGTGAGCACCCTGTTCCTAGCGACAGTGGCGTGCCGGACAGCATGAGGCCACATAGAATTGCTCAGCCCAGATTCTATGAGCAGCGCCCTAGCTGTCTCCAGAATGGTCCGGTTTGCCCGTTCTGCTACACCATTGGACTGTGGGGTATAAGCCGTGGTCAGCTCTCTCTGGATGCCCTGCTTCTTGAGCCAGGCCGTCATTTCAGCTCCAAGGAACTCACCACCCCGGTCTGTCCTAATCCGCTTCACTACACACTCCGCCTGCTTCTCCACGAATGGCAGCCAATCGTCCCGTATCGTGGAGGCGGCGTGGTCCTTCTGCTTCAGCGGATACGCCCACATCAGCCTGCTCCAGTCATCCACAATTGTAAGAAAATACCGCTCCCCCTTGTGCCCTTGCACCGGCAGCGGCCCCACCAAGTCCATGTGGACCAGCTCCAAAGGCTTCTTGCTCCTGCCAGCCACACTATGGAAAGGGAAACAGGTGAACTTTGAAAGCAAACAGATTTCACAGTTGTCATCGGGTGGCTGTCCGTTCAGCTTCAGACCCTTAACGGCTCCTTCTTCCAGCTGCTTCAGCAAAGGCATTGCCACATGCCCTAAGCGCCGGTGTGCCGTTGCCCAATCTGTCTCCCCAGACCTGGCCGACACTTTCACACCAACCCCTCCAACGGCATTGCACTCCCCCTGGGATGCAGACCCCTCTCCAGCCTGCCCCCCACCATGCCACGCCAGGGCCGGCAGCTGCCACATAGATCTGTACACGTCCTTGCTCTCGTGCAGATCCCAAAGCACCCGATTGCCCAGCTTCCCCTTATAAGTGCGTGCCCCATCCGTGTTGGTGTTCACCCCAGCCTTGCCAAGCTTACGGAGGGAGATAAGGTTGGCCTTCAGGTCGGGGACGAAGAGAACGTCGTGCAGCACCACCGGCTTGCCATCCGCTCCCTTAAACGCAGCTCGTCCCGCACCAGCCACCTTCAACATGTGTCCAGAGGCGGAGCACACTTCATTGATCGGTGCAGCTCGTACTTCGTCCAGCAGGTCCTTGCGCGGCGTCATCGTCCAAGCAGCGCCTGTGTCCAACACCCAATAGTCTAGGGGGTGCAGCTCTGCTC